TAGCTGGCGAAGCTTTGGCGGGCATTGCGGATGCTTCCCCTAGCCTCTAGTAGTTCAGCTAATACTGCTGCTCTTCGCTTTTTGAGCTCTGCCTTTATCGCCTCTCTGCATAGCTTCGCAAGCTCGGACGTGAGTTGGTGATTTCTGCGGCTCGTGCGGCTCCACGTTGTCGTATCAGCTCAAATATTTCCGTGGACAGACGTACCTTGGAGACTTTCAAACTCTCTGGCTTTCTGCCACTCTCGTGAAGGTGTTCAACGTACAACGCACCGATAGCACTCCGCATCGATGTTTTCCATGACGGAATCCTCCCATATGCTGACGATAGAAGTGAAATGATCCCAGGTGATGACTGTTTTGGGGCTTCGCTTCCTGAACTTTGAGGCTCTCTCAACACGCCTCGAAAAGTGGAACTTTGCGCGGAGGAGTCGATGGTCCGATCCCGTGTAGAACTTCGGAACAACAGCGATATCGATCAGGCGAAACCTTCGATTGAAGATGATGTGATCTATCTCGTTATGGAACTGCCCATCAGGTGACTTCCAAGTTCAACGAAGGTGAGAGGGCTTCTGGAACTGTGAGTTACCATGGATGGTGTTGGCAGACATGATAAACTCAGGCAGTCTTTCGCCCTACTCATTCCAATCCATTCCGTGAGACAGATGTGAATTTTTCAGCCCTTCTTGGGCCGCTTTGGCGCTGGACTCGGCGACGATAACCTTAAAGAAGGTATGATCTTCCCTGTAGAACTTCTCCAATTCCGTACAGAATGCTTCGTCTTTCTCCTCATCGTAGCTGGATATTGGGGCGTAGGCGAAGAAGATTGTCAAAGCAGGAGTTGAACCACATCTTATCAATCTCAAACCCGATTCTTGTCGTTAAGCTTACTTACGAATCGATGTTTATGACGAAGTGCGTGTTGACGAGGACACCTACACCGCCGACGTTTTCGATGCTCTCGCATGCTCCGAAGAACAGTTCTTCTCCAGAATCGAAAACGGCGACTGCCGGTGTAACGGGCGGTGCCCTCTCGTCTCGGTTAGTCTGATGACGTCGTACATGATCTTCCTGGCTGACATCATCAGGTCTTCGACGTGAGCTCTGCATGCAAGCGTCCCTGCGTTGAAAGTACGGATCGCCATGGTGATTCTCAAAACTTCAAACTAGAACAAAGTCCATTATTTCCATCGGACATCATAGTGAGTAGCCTGCCCTTCGTTCTCTGTTTTCCCTCCATCTTTCCCCCTCTGATACGCTAAGTAATTGACAGAGTTCCCAATTGTTTGTACACCCATCTCCACCACCCTACACGCAAACCCTTAATTCCATAACCACAATACTTGTCCGCGTATAGCAAAACGACGGTGAAAACGGATGGTCCACTCAATCTAACAAGACAAAAGCAATATTCTGTGACCATGGAGTTTGGGCTTTTGTTGAGCTAGTGAGCCCTGGCTGCGAGGTGGCCATCAGGCTTGCCGCGTGTTGTAGTCGTAGTGAATTCATGACTCATCTCCACTAGTGATCATCTAGGGAACGCTTTGCTTATGAGGTCACAGAATGAAATTCCCCTAGAGAGTTACATGCCTCTCGGTCGTGGCTGATCGGCGCATATGGTTTTCATTAAGTCTTCATTCTACTGCCGCCCTACTGTTCTACTGTCATCCTGATGGCTTGTGCTGGTGCGTCGGCTGGGCCCAGGGTCTGCTACAATACCCTGGTGGTAGTGTCCGTGAGCACTTCCAACTCAGTGTAAGGGGTCTTCATTGAAAGTGAGTGGAGGCCCGTGATGAAGCTAATTTAAACAGCTCGTATTGCCTCCGCCTTTGCGACCGCACCTCCAGCTCAGTGACCAATAAGTAGCAGAGACTGAGCCAAAAACAGCGCTGATCTTCGCTAGTGTCCTTCTTGCAACAGTGTCTATTTGAGGATCATTAAGCATAATCGTTCGTTATTACTATTGATCTATTTTGACTTATACTCAGTCACATCGATGCTGTTTGACCTTCCAAAATGTCCTGGCTAACAGTCTAGCTGCACTTTTGAAGATACAAAGATGTTTCTCAATGATACTACTTCGACTTGAAGAAATTTGAATTGGATCAAAAATCGAACAGGAATTATGGGACAAGCCAAAAGTAGAGCTTGACAACTTCCCCGATTTCCCTGGCCTTAGCACCTTTCCATCGCGTCTCCTGAAGGCATAGGACTCGGATAATCCTCCACATCATCAGATCAGCAACCTCTCGATACTTCCCAGTTAGCGATCCCACGTTCAGAGTCCCAATTCGAACTAGCTTTTTTGGCCGAGGCCGTTCAATCATTTGGTATCTTCAGCAACGTTTTGAAGGAATCGAAAGCAGTCCGTCGAGCCGTGAGACGTCCGATTAGCTCTCCAGTCAAGTCGCTCATCATATTTAGTAAGCTACCGAGGTGTACATATTCGATACCCTGAAGTACCTTGGGCTTCTAACGCCTCCCAGACGTTCGTCGTTTCTACAGAATCGAACTTTCTTGTAGTCTATGTAAGTCAGCACGAGAGGCAGGTGATGTTCTCAGGATACTTCGATTAGATGGTGGCAAGGTGCGATGTGGTCGAGCGTTTAAAGTTTTTACGGAAACCTGCTTGCTCTGACGGCTGAGCTGAGCTTCTAACATCCTTCGAATGCGTGCCACTATACAGCGAGTCAACACTTTGTAAAACACTGGCAATGGAGTGATATGGCGACAATTTGTTGCGTCCTCCTTATCGCATTTCTTGACCAACAGCATCGTTGGTGATTGTTTCCATTGGAACTTCGCATTCAGCTAGATAACGTGTGTACTTTTAGCAAGCGCTCGATACAAAGGCGAATCATACGCACGAGAATTTCTACAGTGATGCCGTTTTTACCCGGAGCTTTGCCTCGAGGCATTTTCCGTATTACATAAGGCACCTCTAACGGAAGGAATGGCAACACTTCACTCTTGATGGATTTCTCTTTCCTAATAGAGCTCAATTCTGACAGTTCTGGCTTGTAGAGGGTTGAGAAGGATGGTGCCCCTATTCCTTCTTCTGGCTCTTACCGATTTTTTTTATTTTTCTGCCTCCCTCAAGAGTCTGTCGTGAAACTGAGGTGGTCTTCAGCTATTCGTCTCCCCACATAAATTTCAGTTCGGTCCATATTCCTGCGCTTCTCGAGCAAGGCACTGGCTGAAGCAGAACTGCGACAAGCATCGTGATTCGAAGCAACGTTGCAGCAGCTGTGCAAATCGTGCTACAGTTTGACAAGACTTTCACAGTTAGAACTGATCTCATCCAGCCGGAAACATTTCCTCGTTTGCAAGCCTCGCGGCCGCATCTTCGTCCAGAACTGTGGGGCGAGATAGTCTTGAGCCTATGCGATTCAATCACACTAGACTTTGATCGAATTGGGATCGTTCGTAACAGACGATGGTCGCTCTTTTTGTGAAATAGAAGGCACAACTGCGACATCTGTCATAGCTTTCCGATTACATGGAATGTAGTCCAGTTCATGGTGGTACAAGCATTTGGAGACACGTGAGTCCTTCTTTGGAGCGGAGCTTTGAGAAATTGGCTATTGCCAAGGTAGAGGTGATATGGTTCGCAGAAATTTGCAAGCATTTCCCCGGCTTCGTTACGCTCCTCTACTGAATGTGGACTACTGAAGACTTCGCCAAACTTTCTTTCGGTCCGGTTCGAGCGTTGAGGTCGCTCATTACGACGTAGCTACTTTCGCTACGTAGAAGCTCGGCAAGCCTTGTGAAATTCATCGTGTTCTTCTTCATCGCTATCGGGGCATAAACATGCACGATGGTAGCATTGATGTCCTTGAGAGATCTGCCACCAATACTGCGAATCGATGCCCGTGGAGCGTTGTACGTGTTTGCTGACGCTAGGCGAGGCCATGAAGCTCATCCGCTCTCTGAGGTTGAGTTGGCTTCTCGAACCCATTAACACTGATGTTCTATCTGTCCACGTGCACGAGAGTGGCTCTTTCCTCATTGTGTCAGTCGAGCTGATTACGTTGTACTTAATCCGTTACGTTTCGTCGATGAGTGCCGAAAGCTTAACGGCTAAACTAATACCTCGGCAGCTGTACATACATGCAATTAGTTGGCTCACTCTTGCCCGTCTCTTTTAGTAGCCTATGGCCCTGAGATTTCCTCGCCTTCTGCTGTGTGCTAGTCCACCGCTACCTGGCTGGGCAGGGACAGCCTGCAGGGGACTAAGGCGAGCATGAGAAGTGGTCGTAGTATTTTCATCCCACAGGATAGTCTTACTAGGGCGCTCAAAGCGCTTCCTGCTGCTCAAAGCGAGTGTCATCCCACCAAGAGCTTGGGCACTTCGGTTCTTTAGTAATGGGAATCGGTATGGGATTCCGGCGTAACCCTATTCTGACGAGTATTCCAACCCCCCCCCCCATCAAGCTCGTACAACACGGCAAGGTATTTAGAACCCATGTATGTTGTATTGTATATATGTATGTTAATGTATTGATAGTGTGTTAATATAAGGCCAGAAGAACGCGCTACACGCCGGAAGCTCGTCATTAAAGAAATGTCAATGAAATTGCTGCGCTCAGTCATCACAAATCAATACTTCATACAATTGTTAACAGTCTGACTTCTGTAGGTTGCAAAAGAACATAAAAACTCCATCGGCTCATATTTTTCTTGTCTACAGATTTCTTCAAAATGATTCCGAAGAGGAGGGAAGTTGTACACGCTTTTCACCTTATTGAAAATCTATCGCCATCGCGAATTTGGATACAGTGTGCGGACGCATGACATTGGCAAATCACGTTCATTGTTTTCAGCGTAGGAAGTTGCACTGAAACCTAGTAATAGTTGTGAGGGTGTCTACAATTGTTTTGTGAATGTACCTGTTGTCTGCTGGTGCTGCTGCTGCAAAATGTTGTCCTTAGTAATGATTTGAAAAGTCATTTCTCAACCTCTTTCCTATCAATTTAAACATTGCAAGCTTTCCCTGTTTAGGCGACGCCAGTCCAGATCAAAATCGCCATCCCGTCGACAGTATTCAAAATCCAGGAGCCGAAGTCGGTCACGTGACAGGTATCGTCGCCGATCGAGATCACGATCCAAGAGCAGAAGTCGCAATACCGATCGACACAGATCGCGGTGAGTTTTGTACATAGAAAAGGGGAATCTTGTCAAAAATGGTTGGTAAACACTGAGGATATTTCAGGCCACGACGACCTCGCTCGCGATCCCTGTCGAAGAGTCGGAGTCGTGATAGTACCATTAGTCCTAGTCGTACTCACAGTCGGAGTCGAAGCCGTAGCCGTACTTCTAGTGCAAGTCGGCCTAGAAGTAGAACTCGTTCGCCAACGAGAAAAACTGCTTTCGAGAAAAAAGGACATAGGGGTGGTGGGCGTCACAAACGAGGTCGAATAGACAAAGCGAAATTGTTGGCAATAGCAAGAAAAAAGCGCAGAAGATGCAGTTGGTGAGTTTGTTGGTTATATTGTATATATATGTTATATATGTATATATAGCATATAATATATATTAGTATGTATTACATATATATATATATTATATATATATATATATATAATATATGTTGTATATATATATATATATTTATATAATATATTAATATATATATACATATATATGTTAAAGGGGAGCAAAAAGAAGAGTTACTCTTACTCACATTCAAAACAGAATTAATTACAATCCGCCGAAACCAAACCGAATGAGCTCAATTGCATATTGAAAACCACATTCTATTAAAAACATTACATGGGGCCATAGGGCCCACCGACGACATCAGAAGATTTTCCCACGGAAACATGGTTCGCGGTACGAGCTCAACGATGTCCTCGGAAACTATAGACGATTACAACGTCTCTCAAACGGTGTTCAAAAGCCATGTTGCGTGGTCAGAGCTAGTGTCCCTAAAATGCCATTCACCAGTTATTTGATTGAAGAAATTATGTAGCAGCTTCAGAATGGAGCGGGCCATAAGGTAGGCCTCCTTAAGCTCGACGGTGATGACAGATGACGTCATATTCTGGAGACGGTGAAAGCGGCGAAGTTGGGCCTGATTCTGCTTATGGGGGGACATCTAAGCAATCCTTCGCCGTATAAGTTCCATTAACAGCGGCATCCTTTGTGAGGAAAAGTTTGATGATATGCACCATGGGCAAAGTACTCTTTTTTGCCCCCCCCCCTGTATATATACAGTAGCGGTCAAAAGTTTGGAAACATTTTTGTTTTTAACCTAACGCAGCCAACAGACAACGGAATTTTCCGGAAATCACATAGCATATATAAAATCAAGCGTAGAATACGAGGTGCTGCCTAGTTCCTCCAAATCGGTAATGATAATTAAAAATACGATTTTTTTTATAAAAAAAAACGGCGCGTCAAAAGTTTTGAAACTCCTCAATTCTGAAGCGAAATTAGTACAACAGCTTTCGAATCCACATGAGAAACTAGTAATCTGTTGAGTAACTGAAATATCGTTTTATTGACATTGCATTGATTAGAACATCATTTTGCGATTTTTAAATCTCGAAGCCTAATTTTTGTGAACTGAATCAAATTCACCTCTGGTGCGACATTTATAACGCAACAACCTAATATATACTTTTATATATTGTATTTATTCATCACTCGTCATCGATTTGAATGATTTCAGCTTGGTATTAGTTTGGGATCATTGGATGCGCAAATGCACAACCAACCAAAAAGTGTCGACGATTTTGTGTGTGAGTTTTATTTTTGGAAAGTTCTTCTGGGTTTACGTAGTGCTTGCTCGAAGTGGCTGGGTTTTTTTCTGAAGGCAGACTTTATGATAAGAGGAGAGCCCATCAGAAATGAAGGTAGAGTTGGTTGATGCAAGACTGAAAAAAAAACAAGAAAAACGATTCGAAACCTTATAAACTCGACTGCTTCCTGCCTACTGAGTTTAAGAGGTCCGCATTGCTTCCCTCCTCAACGCACGTCCTCTATTCAGGAGCGGATAGTCACATGACGCAAAGTTATTCAATCGTGGAAGTGCAGCGATGCGGGTATGGCTCTGCTTGGCTGGTAAGGGGGGATACCATCACTGCGAAACCCGCATCGCACCCTTTGGACCCACCTCCTTTCCTTTCTCTATTGTTCGACCTCCGAGGTTATCACATAGTAGTCACAAATAATTTTTTAATTAATTGTCAAATTTTATTATTTCATCTGGTGCTCTTACACTTCTATTCTCTTTTTCGTGTCCATTTCTTTTTTCTTATTTTTGCCAGTCCTGGATTTAGGAAAAGGTTTTCAGCGTACTGCCAACAAATTCAACGCCGTCAAGACAAGGAAAGTCGTCGTGAAAAAGGAGAAGCGGTATCTAGTGATGACGGCGGTGATGACAGGAAAGGTGAATCTGCCAAGGAGAGTCCGGCGACGTTTAAACATCCGTTTGGAGTGCGAACGACTGCGCCTTCAGATGGTATCAAAATTAATATCGTGGTATGTCCTTTTACGTTATAACTTGATTTTCATTTTGCATCAAGTACTGCAAGTGTTTCTGTTCTGTTGAAAAAGTGTAGCAATATATTGAACATTGAGATGGGGTTCCAATCTTATTTTAAATTTACTGTCCTATGTAATTTGGCTGCTTCAGAATGCCACCTCTATCCCTACAAAGAGTCCACAGGAAAGAGTTTTGGATGCATCCCAATTGCGATTGGTCTATCCCGTGTCTTCTGGTGTAGTTCACAAAGAAAGCACCGTAAGTATGAGGCGTTTCGGTAGTGCAGCGATAATATAAAATATTCAGGAGAAGTGGACTCCTGTAGTGAAGGATGAGTTGAAGACATGTTCGGATGAGCAGAAGAAATACGTTGCGGTAACGAGCCTAGAAGCTGAGCGATATCGAGCGGCGACGGTAAGTTGTTAGGAGCGGGCAGAAGCCACAGTATTGGTTATTGTTCCTGTTAGGACCACGCCCACGACTGAATGTTTCATCTAGAATTTGATTCATCCTTTATATTTCTGTCTGAGCACTTCCCTTTTTTAACAACCCATCACCTGAGGCTGCTCATCCCTCAGTCGGTTTTTTTTTCAGTTTATTGTTTATCTATTTGTCTTTCATTACTCATCATTTTTCTTTCTGGTGCGCCAGGAAACAGTAAATAGGAAAGGTATGCAACGAAAGTTAAGCGTAGCGAGAGATAAGTGGCGTTTTCAACGCTCGTGGCAACATTTGAATACCTACGAATCAAAATTGCTGAGCAAGATAGCAGCAGTCGAAAAGATGGTTTGTAATCCCCTTACCCTCCACTGCACAGAAGGACACCAGTTGTAGCATGAAGAGCTCAACCATCGTGTGTGAAGGAACGATCGCATGTGAAGGAACCACACATAAAATAGCAATGACAGAAACCCTGTCCACAGCCCTGCAACTCACGATAGAGAGCCTCATGCCACGTTGGCGTTATATAGACACGAGTCGAAGAGAAAGAATAGAGTGAAAGAGAACAGGAACCGCGGAGGGAGATTATCGTCGATACGGCTCCGAAGAAGTTTCCAGGCTGCAGTACTACGGGCGTACAATTTGTTTGCAGAACACATTTGTGAATGACCTCTTCTCTTATTTTTCACCGCTCTGCCCTCTGTTCTATTGAGACTGCTTGTATATTTCTTTTTCTTCTAATCAGTGTCACGTTGTGTAAAAAGTTGTCATTAGGACTGTGCTACTGCATTCGCGGACAGTGGAGGGGTACCACGCATTCGCCTGCTCTCGTTGTCGGACGTAGGTGCAGGAGAACAGGAGGAGGTTCATCCGACCTAGAAAAAGATTTGGAGCCAGCCAATCTGTACTTTAGCATTTTGGCCTTCCCATCTGAAGGAAAAATTGGTTCGCCGATGTAGGAGGGCTCGATGATTTGGTTGCCAACAAAACTATACCCCAATCGGGAACTACTGGACTTTGAGAACGGTCATGGCGGCATTAGTTTGGTTTCCTTAATTCTGGTCACCACACTCAGTGATAGTAAATGCTCAGTAAGAATATTTTTTGCTAGAAAATGTCGCATTTGATTGTTTCGGCATTTACTCATTTATTTATTCAAAAAGATCACATTGTATCAATGTGCCGTTGCATGCTTCTTCTCCATAAAATAGGGTCGTTTGTGCTGCTTTTATCCAAGTTTCTGCAAGGATTGACACAAAAGGGTCTTGCCATCTCAATCTCGGCTGGCCATTTGATCATCTCCGTTGCCATAGTCGCCATTCAGTTATTATCTTTGTCCACCTATTATCTTCTTTCACCGAAACTTTCTTCGCCCACATCAATTTTCTTATGAACGATCGCACTGCTATATCTCATTTTGGTGATGTTTTCTAACCAAGCATTGGTACGATGATCGTAAGAGTTATACCCATAATCTTCCGCATCATTCTTCGTTGTGCCACTTAGCATCCTTAAAAAGTTTTTGTTTTGTTCGTAAGGTATCGATGCTTTCACACAAGTTTCGTATACGCGACGTTTGAACCTCATTGGCACTCTTCTATTAGTGAGGAAAGACTTGAAGCGGTTGAATGCATTCCATCCTGCTTGGATCCTCCTTTGTATTTCTACTGTGTTGTTCGCATCAAGGAAACTCTTGATTCAAGGTAGATGAAATATTGTACAGTATTGAACATCGTGTCCATCAATGGTAATGGGTTGAATCACAGAATCGGTCATGACAGTGAATTTTGTGAAATCGATTTTAAGTCCCACGGTTTGACTTTTCTGGTAGATTTCTAACATGCGCTGAAGTTTTTGGTTGTTTGCGCGATGATCACTCCACCTTGACTGGCGCCTCGTCTTATTTTGATTGGCTTCGTGGTGACACATACCTTCATATTTACAATGGCGGACTCGTAGGTGTTCGAAAGTTTTTCGGGTGAATCACTTGACGGTATAGCTTTTTCCACAGAGCATCGTGTTCTATGGGATGCAAAAGCTTTTAGATAGTCGATGAAAACAATGTACTGAGGGATGTTGTATTCACTGCTTTTTTTTCTATGAGCTGATTGATGACGTGGAGGTGGTCGGCGTAGTATGAGTTCTGCGAAACCCGGCTTCTTCAACCGGCTGATTGGTCTCCATGGAAGTTATCATCCGCTGCCCAATGATCGAAATGAACAATTTGTAGATTGTTGGAAGTAGAGCGATGGTGCGAGAATTCCGAATGTCAAGATTATCTCCTTTCTAAAATAGAGGCGACATTGATGATTCGGATTAACTTGTAGGCAGTTTTTCATTCTGAGAACTTCATTGAATAGTTTTATTGATGGCTTTTCTAGTATATGATATGCTGCCATAACATTTCAACGGTTATGTGTTCATGTCCTGGTTTTGTCCCTAGTTTCATAATTTTGATAGTATGCTCGAATTCTCTGGGCAAAATTGGTGGCACTTCTACAGAATCCGTCATTTGTGGGAGAGTGGTGATGGCTCTCGTTGTCGAAGCAGGGTCGGTCCTACGTTGCTACAAGTAGCAACGGGGGGTCGTACTTTGATGAGTTTTTGGAGGGGGGGGTCTACATTTTGACGAGTTTGTAGAGCGGGGTCGTATATTTTATGAGTTGCAGAGGGGGGCTCGTACTCTGCTGCGATGTGAGGAAGTTGATGATGAAGGGAGGAGTGGCGGCGGGAGAAAATTGCCGTTCTCAGCGCGTATATACCCCCCCTAGAAAATGAAGTGTGGGATTAAAGGTAGGAGGGGTAAATTGGTGGAAATTTAGGGGAATTCTTACGGTTTCAGAGTGACTATATACCCCCCCCCCCCGCTCGACGGCGATTTCTTGGGGGAAAAGTGGGCGGAGTTTTCGTGGTTCGAGTGATACCAGAATGAAATACTATAGCGAGGAATATGGTGGTCGAGGGTCGAGGGGTCGAGAGGGGGGTCGTACCCAATCCACCTTTGGGGAGGGGGGTCGTAAAATTTTTTCGAAAAGTAGCAACGATAGGACCGACCCTGTGTCGAAGTAAACAGTTTATTGTAGAATTCTTGAACAAGAGATTCCACAGCAGTAGGCGTATCTGCGGTGGAGCCGTCATTCCTTTTGAGGTCGTTTTGCAATTTTTGCTCTCTTGTAATATTCGACAAAGGCGGGATCCATTTGAAATAGCTCATTGTAGACACAGAAGATGTTTCTGCTCGAGATCAGATTTTAGTGAAGACATAGTAATTTATTGAATATGGAGAATTCGATTGTATTACTTACTGAGCGCTGCTACTGGAGAGGATGTCCTGCTGAGCGCTGCTGCAAAAGGAGATGTCGTTTTTCAAATACTTTCCTTGTAGTTTCAGAAAAGTGGAGTTTTTTGAGAACTTCCGACGTAACAGTATCAACGGCCGTTTTCATTCCACTTTTCAAGTCTTCGTACTCTGTTGGAAACAAGAGACTAATAGTTCGGCATAGCTCTACAAATATAACGGTTTGCCTGGCGATCGAGATTCATTTATGTTTTGGATATGTATGGTATGCGAAGGCCAGTCTGGACAACAGCTAGCTGTGGCTACTCCGAAGTGAGCCAAGAACGTGACATGGAGAGTACTTGCCTCTTTAACTAAATACCGTGGGCGTAAGATCCAGATCCAAGTGAATAACTGATGAAGCGAACCAAGTTTCCTGTTCCAAGAGATATGGAAATAAAATCTGTCACGCTCGGAGAAATATTATATGCATCTGGGACCTATTAGGATATTTAGAAAAACTCACTACTGCTTAGATTCCTGACGCAGCACAGGTTCGTGTTTTCGTTCGTCTGATATTATGCTTTGTCTCATAGTGTATTTTCCGTAGCAAGGTACGGTGCTATCGAGAATTTCGTCATGGGTGCCATGTCGTGCGCTTAGACTGTACATATAAGTCAGAGAAGCTGGAAGGACACAGCAAGTTTTGCCTTTTCTGTAGATTCCTCCAGGAGAGATTCTACCTTCAAAATGTCAGAATATCACAATCATTGTCTTTGAATCCTTTCTGTTGCTCGGATTTATTCAAGCCGACTCTCAGCTTACGCAAGACCAAAATTATAATAATATCGGGCTCACGTAAGCTGAGGGTTGAGAAAAAATTATCCGCCGTTTTCAATCGACTCATAAACTTTGTAATGAAACCAAACAAAAACGTGTTCTTCTTCTTATTCTTAACGTTGTCCCGCTGGGGCAGGGTCCGTTCTTCATCGAAGACCTTATTTGTCCAATTCAGGGCATCTTCGCGACGCAGCTGTGCAATTTTCATGTCTTCATTGATCGTGTCTTGCCACCGCTGTCTTGGTCTCCCACGCCGTCATTTGTCGTCGACTTCAGAGCGGTACGCAGTGGCAGCGACAATATCAGGGGCAGATCGTATGATGTATTCATACCTTTATAGCCGTCTCTCTCGCATTTTCTCTGTGATAGGCGCAACACCCACGTGCCGTTGAATTACTTCGTTGCAAACGCGGTCCACCCGTGAAATTCCCGACGACCACCGGAGCATCCGCATCTCCATAGCTTGAAGTTGACGCTCAGCGCCTTTTGTATTTGGCCAACATTCAGATCTGTGTAATGCAGTAGAGCGGACCATAGTTCGGTATGCCTTTATTCAAGGCGGATCGGCATACGTCTCTTGCAAACCACTCCGGTAATCTCTCCATCTCCTTTGTGTGCCTATTCTCTCTTATCTCTTTGTCAAGACCTCTATTGGCTTGTAGGCGGGAACCCAGATACCTGAAGCAGGATGGAGATTCCGCTTCAGGTATTGGTGGATTATTATTATTGTTAGATCCTCGCCACTGACCTGGATTTTGCGCTCATCTTGAACAGTTTCCATGTACTCGGTCTTTTTGATGTTGAGACGAAGACCGTACTGGCTAAGACGATCGAACCAGATCTGAACTTGATGCTGTACTTCATCCCTGCTGGTGGCTGCAAGATGGATGTCGTCGGCATACAGCAGAGTCCACGACGTATCGTTTTGCAAATCTCGTTTGATTGTATGTGATTCCAGGACGAGACTGAAAAGCAACGGTGAGAGCGCTGGTCCTTGTTGAACGCCAACGTTCAACAAGGACCAGGGCTCTCACCGTTGCTGCACGTCTGACAATTTGTGGTGCACGCGTGCTTCATTTGGATTCAGTCAATGAGAACTTCTGGCATTCTGCAAATTTTAACCAGTGTTTCTCCGAAAGTATGCGAGCGGTGAAGATTGCGCTGGTGGTTCTAGACCCTTTACGAAGCCACACTGGTTGATTCTCAGCTCGACGATGTCGCGAAGTCGCTGATCGATCCGCTCAAAGATCTTCATAGTAAGCGACAGCAGGCGAATCGGGCGGTAATTCGAACATTCCGCGGGATCTCCTTTATTTTCAAGTTTAGGTTTTCTATAGTAATGCTCGTAGCTCATTCGTTTGGTGTGCGGCCAGAGTTGAGGACTGCACTGGAAAATCGCGTGAGCCATGGAATTCCAATCTGCCGCTGTCTCCATTTTCCAGAATTCCGCTGGAATGTCGTCTGGTCCCGGCGCCTTCCGATTTTTCATGCTGTTGATAGCCGTGTTCTTGTAGTGATGCAAGTGACTGGTCCAGCATTCATTGAGCCTCCCGGGATTGGCGGATGAGCGAACTCGATGTTGGAGATTTCATTGAAATATTGTTGCCAACGATCTAGTATTTTTTGCTTGCTGTGGAGTCGCTATCCATTTTCGTCCTTCGCGCTAACATAGTGATCAGTGTCTTTTGCTGGCCGTGCTCTTTCTTTCGCCAATCGGTAGATGCTCATCTCACCTTCTTTGGAATCCAGTCCTTCGCAAAGATCTCGGAAGTGTTAAGCCTTTGCTGCGGAGACAGATTTCTTGGCTGCCCTCCTGGCAACGATGTGCTTGCTCCAGTTTTCAGCATTTTTCTGGGCATACCATAGCAAAACATAAACAACAAGAAATAATCAACAAACGCTCTCGAACAATTCTTGCAACCGTGCCTTCATTCCACGCTTCATTGATTCTGCAATCAAATGCAGAAGCACTCGGTTTTGAGCGAACTTAGCACGTAGCATTTTTTTGAGCGAACTTAGCCCTTACGTAGCATTCTTTTTTGCTCGTGCATCAAAATGTACAAGAGATTGCGGATTGCATGTAATTCTCGAAAATAATCAGCAAAAAATCACAGAGCCATGAGCCTGAAAAAAAAGGGCGATAGTTTTCGCTCGACTTGATACATCGCTTCGGCTGCGATTTTCATCATTCACAGCTTCGAACACTCTAACGGAAAGTCTATCTCGCAGTGAAATAAGTATATTACTAACGTGTCAGTGTTCCCAGACATAGAAGCATTCACTGTATCCCAAAGAGGGGTAAAAGCGTCCTGGTTCTGGGTCTTCGAGAAGCGCAAGGCTATCAAAAAGGATCCAGAATTCACGAAAAAGAATCCAGCACACTGGCAGACCCACCTAGGGAATAAAGAAACAGTTTAAAAGTATATTCCAGAGCAGCATAAATGAGTAACAGCAATTCGAGAACTGAAAAAAATAGAAGTTCTTAAGAGTCAGAGACATCTTCTCTATCTGAACTCTAGCACCTGTCACCTGTATCACCTGTTGTCCCATAGATCATCGATTTGCTCCAGCGTGCGCTAGCAACGTCTCGATTCGTCTCTTTCTTGTGTAGGAGTAAGCCGATAGATTTTCCACTCAAGGGACGCGTACTCCTTCCTTTTTTCGTTCAGAGCTTCCGTGAAGGTCTGAACTCGTCATAGTGTTCTTTTGACATCTCCGATTTCCAGTTAGTAACCGCTATCGCACTGGTTCAGCCATCATCACACAATTGCATTACGATACGAGCAACTGATCTTCGATTTCCTTGCGAAAATGGCGACATTTCTGACCTAAAATCGGTAAGGAGTTTGGATCTCCTGATTAGTCATGCTATTGCCGTTGCATGTTCCGAGGAATAGTTTTTCTTCAATGTCGAGAACGGCGTGTAGCATGTGGTGGCTTCTGCTCTCGGTCAATCTGATGATGTTCCCTGGTTGCATCACCAGGTCTTCGACGCGTGCTCCACATGTAAGCGTCCATGCGCTGAAAGCACACATCGCTATCTTAGTCCTTCCTCGTTTGGGCAGCCTAGCCGGGCCCTGAGATTCCGTGCGGTTCCACCCATCGCTTCCGTATGGGGAGTTCCCTCGGGTTAAGGGAATGAGGCCCATTTATTCAGTTGTTTCGGACATATTGCTTCAACAACCACTATGGAATTGTCCGAGGCGTTTGATTGATGCGTCCGAGTGCTGGGATCTAACAAGGGAGGTCTCAGGGCAAGGTGTGCTTTTTGAAAACGGTTTAGCACATGTTGTAGGGACGCATGTATGGACCATAAAGCCATGTTTCTTTCTCGTTGAACGGTTTCAGTAATACCAAAAAAGGAGTGGATGGTACACTTGATGGTTCAATCCCCTCGGGGACTAAATTTTGCAATCAAGGTTGGCGGCCACTTGTTGGTTTCAAAACGGTCCTGACGATGAATTTGAAATCTGATTTTGATATTGAGCGCGATTTGGCGCCAAACCGCAAGCGCCAACCCAAACGCAAAATTTAGTCACCACGGAGGATGAACCCTTAACAGTACCCTGTGTTTCTATTTTGGTACTGCTATAACTGTTCATCGAAAATGAAACATGGTTTGCGTTCCCTACACGCGTCCCTACATTATGCACAAAACCGTTCTGAAAAGCGCACCTTGCCCTGAAAGACCCCCCTTTGTAAGTCGACAGCCAAATTTGAAATCGTTTCATTGGTATTGTTTCTCAATGAGCAATGAATCATTCTACTCAGTCAGGACTTGAACTAATCAGCTGCTCATTAGAGGCGAAGTTTTTTCTGATCATTATTCTCGCCCACCTTATGATCCTGATTGGATTTGTCCCAGACCGTCGGATTCTCTCGTCGTTAGCTACTTTGTGCCAGACTCAGCTCGGCAACGAAATCGTTGCCGTCTGGCACAACGTTGTCCATTTAGAGTGCAGAAGTGGCTGCAGAAAAAAATGCACAACAAAAATCATTTTAGTGAGTATTGAATAATCTTTTTCAGGGTTCTTCTAATGAGCACTTATTACCTCCACCGCCGCCGCCACCGGTTCTCACAGGGGCTTGGTGGTCTGTTACCGCC